TAACTCAAGTTTGGGAGACCACAAAAGCATCCCTAGGATTACTAGTTAAGGTAAGGAAGTTACCAACAGTGTGGTCCTCATGTCCACACATCTTGTGACTCTCCCATGTCACTCTTCAGGTTCATGCCCAAGAGGAGACCCTCACATGCACACTTGAATACAGGTATGTGCTTGGTTACGACAGCGACATCAGGGAACAGTCCTAGTGTCCACCCACAGTGGAAGATTGCACGAAGCACGGGATCACACAAAGATCAAGTGAGTTCTTCATATAATATAAAGTGACAAAAAAACTAGAGGTGAATCGGCTAGAGGCCAGTAAGCCCCCAGGACCCATGTGTCTCTGTCTCCTCAGTGCTGGGGTCACACACATGCACTACCACATGCAGATTTTTGCCTAGAGGCTGGGGATTAGAACTCAGGTCCTCACACTTGCTCAGCACGTACCTTTCCTTTGAGCCATCTCCCAGGTTGACTGAGTTCATCTTTATCAGGCTCTTTGGTTTTCTTACCCAGACAAGAGGATGATGACAATGACTTTTTTTTTTTTAAACCATCAGGCTATACATTCACCAGTGATCAAAGGATACCCTAAACAAATCCAATTCTGTATACATACAAAGACAGGGGAGAGCCAGGCAGTGGTGGCGCACACCTTTAATCCCAGCACTTGGGAGGCAGAGGCAGGCAGATCTCTGTGAGTTCAAGGCCAGCCTGGTCTACAAGAGCTAGTTCCAGGATAGCCTCCAAAGCCACAGAGAAACCCTGTCTCGAAGCCCCCCCCAAAAAAGACAGGGAGACAGGGGAAAAACAGAATTGGCAGCTCTGTGACCCCCATTAGCAAGCTCCTTGTCACCCTAGTCATCTAAGATTATCCTGGGTACACGGTGCAGGTTGTCAACTGTGCCAAGCCCCCTGATGACAGGGTAAGTGATTTTTCATCAGCCTGGGTTCTGCTGTTCGAACCACAAATCCTGCCATGGGCTGTGAATGTCCAGAGAAATAGCACCCCCCTCCCCTTTGCAGAAATGTACTGTTCTTCATTTAACGTCAGGTCTTAGCCCAGAGATGGCTCGCTATCTCATATGAAGTTCACAGCCATGGTAAGGTGCTTAGAAGGCTCCTTTGCACTGAGCATCACTCAGACCATTTGATTGTCAATGTCTCTGTGCTTAAGGGTTTTGGTGGAATCAACAAGTGGAGAGAACCCTATCCTGCTTCAGGAGGCCAGATCTGCTAGCCATGCATTAAGGCCAGCTGTGGGACTCTTCACTATAATCACTCCAGGTTTATTTTGCTAGCAATGAAACAACACTAATGATCCCTGCATAGGCCTGGTAGCCTAACAGCTAGAATGCAGTGAGGCCTGGATTTGCTCTCTGTCAACTTCACTGTTGTATTCCCAGCATCTAAAGCAGGGTCTATCATTAAGTAGTTGCTCATGAGAGTTGTTGAATGAAGAGGGTCTCGGGCTGTCATTCTGTTGTGTATTAAGTGTTATCAGACCAAGTTCCTGGATATGAATATCAACTTCCAAAGTCAGTGAGTTCTCTAATTCCACCTGAAGTGCAGGAAGCATCAATTGTTGGGTACCAGCATGACTCAGAACTGTGTTCTGAGAGCTTTGGCACTTCTACTCAGGAGTAAGTGCCTAGCAAACCAAGCTCTTTGGCAAATGTTGGGGTTGCCACGAGAAGAGTACTTTAACTTCCCCCCCCCCAAACCACTGTAAAGTGTGGAGATGAAAAGTGGATTTTCAAAACAAATGAAGACTACTGACGGGTGGCTCCTGAGAACAAAACCTACCAGACCTACTGAGACCCCAGTGAACCCAAATGCATGTTAGACTTTCCTCAGAGGCAATCAGTCGCAGTCTACACATATGGGGTCCCATAAGGCTTTACCCTCAGCAATACTGCACCTATCTCAGTCTGTGTTTGAACAATGACATAACCTAACAACATTTCTCAGAATGTATCTTCACACATAAGCCTCCCTGGGGCTATAACTTACAAAACAACACCTCAGTAAATACAGCTCTGTTAAATCCCCACACTTACCTTCCCAAATGTTGCTGGGTTAACCTGGTTCTGAGCACTCTGCCCACAGGTCTCCACATAAATCTCATACATGAGACATCGAGGCACACTGAACCCTTCACAGACACAGAAATTGTCAACTAGCCTGCAGAGAGAGAGAGAGGAAACCAGAAATGGGAAATTGGCAGCTATTTTTCTGAGGTAGTATTTTTCTGACAGAACCAATGACCAGGCACATACATGGGTCCAGTAACATGACCTCTGTCTAGGTTACCGAATGGAGTAGAAGCTCACAGGCAGCATAAGAAAGATCTCTTTTGTCCTCAGGCCAGTGTTTGAAATACAGACTATGGGTTTTCCGTTTTCTACACTGTAAGGCTTAGGGTTTTATTGGAGGGGAAGTTGCATGCTAAAAAGAGGTAGATACTCTTCGACTAATCTTTACAGATTCATACCCAAGATGGAAGTAACTACAGGATAGAGACTTACTAATCTGGTAAAGCAAAATAGTACCACAGTGTACACCCAAGGAGTCAAGCCGGGTGGGAGGGTGTGGGCATTAATTGGTCCCAGAGGCCCACTGGCGAATAGCCTGGCCTCTACTACTATGTGTGGGGGATGGTGGGACTGGCATAAGGAAGTTAAGTCACTGGGGAGGTGCCTTTGAAGGAGATATTAGGACCTGGGGTTTCTCCCCTCTGCTTTATGACTGCCATTAGCAGCATTGCTCCCCGAGGCACACTCTCCATGTTGTTCTATCCTGCCACAGACACAAAAACCATGGCTACAGACACAAAAGACAATGGGACCAGGTAACCCTGGACTGAAACCTCTGGAGGAGCCATTAGAATAAGCCATTTTCTTTATTAACCTGATTTTTTCAGGGACTGCCATTTTTTATCTCTCTCATCATAGTGCCAAATAGAAGCAAGAAAGACACAGACATTGTAGGTGTTAGCAGACTGCCTCCAGGGAGTGCAACCCCAAGGAGTTACTGCTGTGGTAAGCCTGACCTCTATTGCATGTGGCTCTGGGGAAAAGATGTGAGGCTAAACTACCACAGGTGTGCCACCAAAAATGTCCCGTGTTTTACCTGCGGTTGGATCCCGAGGCCCAACCCAGCCAGGCCCTGAGGGTCTGTAGCCACAGTGTGTCTATTCTTGTGTTCCCCAGTTTGACTGTGTCTCTTCCTGTCTCAGAAATGGAAACCTCTTTCTTCCATCCCCCTAGACTAGCCATGGGGATAACTTACCATGTGCAGATGACAGTGACACTGTTGTCCCAGATAGGACCCCACTTGACTAATAAATCATTGTTATCCTACCTAACAGATCACTGACTGGAAGACACGAGTGAACTAATGCAGAAACATGGCCCTTCTTCCACGTGACAACAGTTGGGCATGTCCTTTTCCTACTCTCTCCTCAGCTACCTACCAGGTCTCCCGATCTTGGCCATTGCTCTCTCTATAGATCTATATAACCATCCCTTTGGGGAGCCTGGTCTCTTCCATTCCAAGGCTATCTATATTAGAAGCTGGGGCAGTATTCTGAATGCCAGTGTAGGTGAATTGAAGTCTTCCAGTCCTCTCTCCCAGCCCTGAAGGATGTGTCAGCAGAGGCCCACCTACTTAGGAATTCTGGGCATGGGGCTTGATTTGCTGCTAAATTACACCATCCTGAAGACACCAGTTATCTCTGGGAGAGATAGCATGTGGCCCCAAGCCACAAGCCACCTAAGGAGGATGCCCAAGTATTTTAAATTTTATAATCACTCTTTCTAATACATATAGCAAAATTCAAAACACCAGAAACGCAGTGGTGAGCTGAAACAGTAAACTAAGGTACCAAGCTGACTCTTCCTGCTAAGAAGGCACGCAGGTCTGGTTATATGCTCCTGTTGTTTTTCTCTTATTCACGCTGAGGATTGTCATTTTGGGGGGAGGGGGATAGTAACTATTTATAACTGTAAACTCTTCATTTTTTTTCTATTTCTTACTCAGATGACTCTTTCAAAAGAGTTTTCCCTGAGAAATATTTCTAAAGCTTACAAAAAGAAAAATGTAGGCTGATATATAATAGTCACCTTATAAAGCCACGGTCTGAGGACTGGCTTCAATTATTTTCCTATTTATAAAGAGCCGCAAACTCTTGAGTTTAGTCCCACGGGCTGAGGGTATTTTTCTTTCTAGTTTTTTTTTTTTTTTCTGTATTTAAATAGCCAAGAAGTGAATTTCACAAATAATATGGAATGCATTGTTGAAACTAAAAGTTGTTCTAAGTTAGGCACATCCACTCTAGAACTCACGCCAGGAGAGAGAAAAAAAACAAAACAAAACAAAAAACAAAAAACAAAAAAAACGTTTCCTCCCCTGGCCAACGCCTGCCTGCGTTCCAGGTCTCCTACCAACAGGCCTAGGTCGGGGGCAAGCTGGATTGCTTCCCACGGGAAGTGTGACCCACGGGGACAGCCAAATGGAAAACCGGAGCCCAGTGCGGATGTGGACCGCGTGTGTGTGAGAACCCGCGTCTTCAGCCCTGGCCTCCCGCTCTCGACTTAGAAGTCCTCCTCCTCTCCTTCGGCCTGGGCTTCACGCCCCGCCGGCAGTGACCCTCCCTGTGCCGGATCCCGGCCGCTCACCACTGGATGATGCCTCGGTGCAGGCCGCGGCCACCCCC